TACAATAGCAAAAGAGCTTCCCTTGGGATACTTGGACAACCGCAGATCAAACATGGCACTTACAGTCCCTAAAAAAACATGACACTTACAGGAACATTACGAGAAGAATAAAAGAGAGGATTCAGTTACAAGCTTTCACCTCCCCTCTTGCAGAATCTCCACTGAAGACTCGCCAGGTACAATGCAGATACTTGTGTTCGATGGAGGACACGACATTATGTACGAATCGAACCCCTCATTCTGCATCATTGCTATTGTGCTGTAACTCGCGTATGTTGGGGATAGGTCAGGAATTGACTGGTCACGGTCCAGGTATTGCATGACCTTCCGCATGCTAGGCCTTTCACTGGGCGATGGGTAGGCACATAACAAACCTAATTTGAGAAGAATGGTGGCTTCCTCTGTGTTGAAATTCCCCATTAGACGTGGATCCACCGCATCAAGAATCGAGCCACTGCGATGATGTTCAAGCACCCAGTCGACCAACACTACTTGTGTGATGTCCTTGCTCTTCCAATTGGCCTACGCCCACAGGCGACCTCTAGGACAAACATGCCAAATGCGAACACGTCGGTTAAGGGTTTTGCCTTTCCTGTGCGTATAAGTTTGGGTGCAAGGTACCCCATGATGCCCACCACATGTGTTGTTGTAGCAACTGTCCCATGATCATATAACCTTGCTAGACCAAAATCACCAAGCCGTCCAATCATCTGGTTGTCCAAAAGCACATTACTAGCCTTTATATCTCGATGGATGACGATTTGCTCCCATTCCTCATGAAGATACAACAAACTTGATGCGACATCTTTGATAATCCGATACCTCTCGGATAAGTGTAGCGTTGGTTTGTTTTTATTGTACAAGTACTTGTCAAGACTATCATTTTCCATGTAGTCATAAACCAAGAGAAGTTCACCCTTTCGCCGGCAGTAGCCTAGTAACTGAGCGAGATTACGGTGGCGGAGATGGCCAATGCTCACCACCTCCGCGATTAACTCCCTTATTCCTTGTTTCGAATCATGTGACACTCTCTTCACCGCAACCTTCAAATTGGACGGAAAAAGCACTCCTCTGTCCACTCTTCCAAATCCTCCCACACCAAGTAAATTCGTACCAGAAAACCCCTCAGTGGCATGAAATAGATCCTTGTACGCGAAACGATGTGGGCCGAACTCGTCCTCCCAATCTTCTCGTACCTCAGAAAATCGACGCCGATGCCACAAGAAGAAGAAGAAGATGATAGCTAGCATTGCAATGACAAACAATGCCGCGGCCAGTGGTAGCGCGACATCCAAGATCTTTGACTGAGGTTTGGGACCCAGGCGTGGTAGGACGGGAAGCGTGGAGAAGTCTAGCAGCGGGGCAGGTCCGTCCAAGCTGAAGCTCCATCCAAGGACATAGTGGTGTGTGCCTACGCCCCAACCTCCGGAAGCTGAAAAGCCAACGTACATCTTGTCCGCCATGACCGTGGAGAGATCAATGACTTCGGAGAGTAGAGGAATCTTGGGCTTTGGTACATGCGCGGGCGCTAATGTCACGTTGAGTCGCCTGGCCTGTGCATCATAGTCTACCCACACCTGCACATGGTTTTGAATTTCAGTTTTAGAAATATTCCAGCCATATCTGAAATCAGTGACTTAGGTTTTCATTTCGGAGAGGACCGAAATTCTCACTTGAATTTGATTGAGATCCAACCAAATATATTTTTTCCAAAATGTTACTACCTCCATTTTTAAATATAAGTCCTTTTAGAAACTTCAATAGGACTACATACGAATGTATATAGACATATTTTAGAGCGTGGATTCACTCATTTTGCTTCATTTCTAGTCCATATTAGAATCTTTAAAAAAAACTTATATTCCCTCCGTCCCATAATAAGTGTCTTGAACTTAGTACAAATTTATACTAGAGCTAGTATAAAGTTGAGACACTTATTTTGGGACGGAGGGAGTATTTATTTAGGAACGGAGGAACTACTTTGTAAGTAATTTGAATTTATGTGTACCACTATAATTGCTGACATGATGAAATTACAGTGAAAGTGAAAACCATGACCTGCATCGGTTCGCGGCTGTTCAGCGTCAGCTCTTGAAAGGCGCCGTTCTCGTCGCTGTACTACCCAGCCTGCTTGGCCTGCCGTGAGATGAGGCTGTTGACGTCGATGCCGACGTGGTTGCTGTTGATGTCGCGGAACTCGACGTCCATGATGGTGTCGAGCTCGACTGCCAAGATGGGATCGCTGGCCGTGCCGTTTGTCCCGTTGAGGAGGCCCAGGTACCGCCCGCTCTGGGCAGCTGAGAGGTTCGAGGTCGGCGCGACGACGAACGCATGCCCGTAGCTGGTCAGGCCATCGTATCTGGACCTAATTGCGAACACGAAGGACGCGGAGAAGGACCGCGCCATGGCGGCGCTGTTCGCCGTCGCGGTGGAGCTGTCGAGGAAGCGGAGTGGTGCGGGGTGGAAGGCATGGCCTGTTGTCTGGTACTCCGTCTCCGTGTCGGTGAGCAGCAGGAGGCCGTTGGGCGTGACGGCGGCGACGCCATCCAGCGTGAGGTTCGCGGTGGCGAAGCCTTGGTAGGCGAACCGGCCGTCTTCCGCCGCCAAGGCCACACCTCCGTCGAGGCTCAGAAGCAGCAGCAGACCAAGGGCTAGCGTAGGCTGCATGGTACCTTGACACTCTTGTTGACACTGAGAACAAGTGTAGCAAACCACCCAGGCGTGCATTTAGGAGCTTGCGCACGCAGGCGCCACACGCAGGAAGCTACGTACGAGCCACACACACATCTCAAACAAGCAAATATCTCACAAAGGCTCGCACATAGCTCCAAGCTCATACTCCAAGCAAGACGCCGGCCGGGCTGGAAACTACACGGAGAATGGACGTGTCCGGCAACTAGCAATTGGAGCCTTGCGGTGAGTAGCGCTGCTTTCACGAGTAGTATCTTTCACAGTAGGTACGAGCGTTAACTTGTCATTGCACGTGGAAGAATGCAGGAAAATAAGGATGTCCATGGACTTCTTGGGCATCTCTGACAGTACTTACTGTCTCATATCTAGTTCATCCAGGACCAGCCATGACAGTGTCTCACGAACTCTTTGATTCCGATCGATTTTTCTTTTGCTAGTTTGGTTGGCGTCACAGTTAATAGTTTGGTACCGCCGTGTGAGTGTGTTTGCTTCAGTGAGCACTTGTAAATTTATCGCTTGCTTCGGGCCGGGGATAGGAGTCATAGGACATTAGGAACATTGCTGATTTGTCTTCCTCTGAACATCCACTATCCATCATCATATGCACGTTTATATTTGTAAAGAAAATTGTACATGTGGTGCCCGTGCTTTGGGATGAGAACTAAGCTACTCCCTCCGTCTCATAATATCAGAGCATTTTTGACACTGAGATTGCTACTACATGTGCTGGTGTTGGGTAACGTAGTAATTTAAAAAATTTCCTATGCACACGCAAAATCATGGTGATGCATAGCAACGTGAGGGGAGAGTGTCGTCCACGTACCCTCGTAGACCGTAAGCGGAAGCATTATGACAACGCGATTGATGTAGTCGTACGTCTTCACGATCGACCGACCCTAGTACCGAACGTACGGCACCTCCGCGATCTGCACACGTTCAGCTCGGCGACGTCCCACGAACTCACGATCCAGTAGAGCTTCGAGGGAGAGTTTCGTCAGCACGACGGCGTGATGAAGCTACCGGCGTAGGGCTTCGCCTAAGCACTACGACGATATGACCGAGGTGGATTATGATGGAGGGGTGCACCGCACACGGCTAAGAGATCAATGATCAACTTGTGTGTCTCTGGGGTGCCCCCTCCCCCGTATATAAAGGAGTGGAGGAGGGGGAGGAGACCGGCCTCCTAGGCGCGCCCCAAGGGGAGTCCTACTCCCACCGGGAGTAGGATTCCACTCCTTCCAAGAGTAGGAGTAGGAGGGAAGGAAGGAGGAGAGAGGGGGAAGGAAAAAGGGGGGCGCCGCCCCCTTCCTTGTCCAATTCGGACTAGAGGGGGAGGGGGCGCGCGGCCTGCCCTGGCCGCCCCTTCCTCTCTCCACCAAGGCCCATGAGGCCCATTACACTCCCCGGGGGGTTCCGGTAACCCCCCGGTACTCCGGTATTTGTCCAAACTCACTCGGAACCCTTCCGAAGTCCAAACATAGTCATCCAATATATCGATCTTTATGTCTCGACCATTTTGAGACTCCTCGTCATGTCTGTGATCATATCCGGGACTCCGAGCAACCTTCGGTACATCAAAACACATAAACTCATATTACCGAACGTTAAGCGTGCGGACCCTACGGGTTCGAGAACTATGTAGACATGACCGAGAGACGTCTCCGGTCAATAACCAATAGCGGAACCTGGATGTTCATATTGGATCCCACATATTCTACGAAGATCTTTATCGGTCAAACCGCATAACAACATACGTTGTTCCCTTTGTCATCGGTATGTGATACGTCTCCAATGTATCTATAATTTATGAAGTATTCATGCTATTATATTATCTTGGATGTTTAATGGGCTTTATTATACACTTTTATATTATTTTTGGGACTAACCTATTAACCGAAGGCCCAGTCCAAATTGCTGCCTATTTCAGTGTTTTGCAGAAAAGGAATATCAAACGGAGTCCAAACAGAATGAAACCTTCGGGAGAGTTATTTTCAGAACAAACGCAATCCAGGAGACTTGGAGTAGACGTCAGGGAAGCAACGAGGTGGCCACGAGGGTCCAGGGCGCGCCCTACCCCCTAGACGCACCCCCACCCTCGTGGGCCCCTCGTGGCTCCCCTGACCGACTTCTTTCGCCTATATATACCCATATACCCTGAAAACATCCAAGAGCACCATAGAGCACCATAGATCGGGAGTTCCGCCGCTGCAAGCCTCTGTAGCCACCAAAAACCTCTCGGGAGCCCGTTCCGGCACCCTGCCAGAGGGGGAATCCATCACCGGTGGCCATCTTCATTGTCCCGGCGCTCTCCATGACGAGGAGGGAGTAGTTCACCCTCGGGGCTGAGGGTATGTACCAGTAGCTATGTGTTTGATCTCTCTCTCTCTCTCTCTCTCTCTCTCTCTCTCTCTCGTGTTCTTGAGGTGATACGATCTTGATGTATCGCGAGCTTTGCTATTCTAGTTGGGTCTTATGATGTTTCTCCCCCTCTACTCTCTTGTAATGGATTGAGTTTTCCCTTTGAAGTTATCTTATCGGATTGAGTCTTTAAGGATTTGAGAACACTTGATGTATGTCTTGCATGTGCTTATCTGTGGTGACAATGGGATATCACATGATTTACTTGATGTATGTTTTGGTGATCAACTTGCGGGTTCCGTAACATTGTGAACTTATGCATAGGGGTTGGCACACGTTTTCATCTTGACTCTCCAGTAGAAACTTTGGGGCACTCTTGAAAGTACTTTGTGTTGGTTGAATAGATGAATCTGAGATTGTGTGATGCATATCGTATAATCATACCCACAGATACTTGAGGTGACATTGGAGTATCTAGGTGACATTAGGGTTTTGGTTGATTTGTGTCTTAAGGTGTTATTCTAGTACGAACTCTAGGATAGATTGAACGGAAAGAATAGCTTCATGTTATTTTACTACGGACTCTCGACTAGATAGACCAGAAAGGATAACTTTGAGGTGGTTTTGTACCCTACAATAATCTCTTTGTTTGTTCTCCGCTATTAGTGACTTTGGAGTGACTCTTTGTTGCATGTTGAGGGATAGTTATATGATCCAATCATGTTATTATTGTTGAGAGAACTTGCACTAGTGAAAGTATGAACCCTAGGCCTTGTTTCAACACATTGCAATACCGTTTACGCTCACTTTTATCGCTTGTTACCTTGTTGTTTCTATATTTTTAGATTACAAATACTCATATCTATCATCCATATTGCACTTGTATCACCATCTCTTCGCCGAACTAAGGCACCTATACAATTTACCATTGTATTGGGTGTGTTGGGGACACAAGAGACTCTTTGTTATTTGGTTGCAGGGTTGTTTGAGAGAGACCATCTTCATCCTACGCCTCCCACGAATTGATAAACCTTAGGTCATCCACTTGAGGGAAATTTGCAACTGTCCTACAAACCTCTGCACTTGTAGGCCAAACAACGTCTACAAGAAGAAGGTTGCATAGTAGACATCAAGCTCTTTTCTGGCACCATTGCTGGGAAGGTGAGTGCTTGAAGGTATATCTTTAGATCTTGCAATATAATCTTTTAGTTTCTTGTTTTATCACTAGTTTAGTCTATAAAAGAAAACTACAAAAAATGGAATTAAGGTTGCCTCATATGCTTTATCTTTTTAATGTCTTTCGTGAAAATGATGGGAAGGAAAATTGTGCTCAAGTACTAGAAGAAGAATTACATAGAATGCTTGGCATAAAATATGTGAATGATGAGCATGATTGCAATGTTGTTAGTATGAATTCTTTGAATACCCATGATGCTAATGATATGCAAAGCCACAAGTTTGGGGATGCTATGTTTGATGAAGAT